CGATGCCAGATCAACTCACCCGTAAGTGTATGCAGAGCAAGCAACATAATGAACATATACAAACAATGCCGGATGAAATCCCCCATGATAAGCGTATACAAACGAAAATTATGTGATTGGTCCAACAACTACCGGTAGTCTACAGCTCACAGGCAACAAGCTAGACTATAGTTACAGTCAGTAAGGAGCTCAAAGCGCAACATGAACAATGAACCTAATGCCATGTGGTGGAATGTACTACTGGAATGCAATCCCACATGCACCAATCTTACAGTGTATATCAGAAAGTTGTGCAATGCAATGCAATGTAATTGAACCCGGCGCTGTCAACACTGGAAGAGTGAAACAGAGAGCCTGTGAAATAGAATGCAATGCTCAAAATGCAATGGTATCTTTGCCGACAGCTCAGGATAGGTGTGGAACCCACTTCCAAAGTGCTCACCTAATTCGCCACATTCACCAGAGTAAGACCGCTGGAATTGCTTCGTGGAGGGCATTCCAAGGGCCAATACAGGGTCGAAGCCAGGACGACAGTCATGACACTGGCCGGAGCTGGGGGCGGTTGTTCTGCACTGTGCCCTAGCATGTTAGGGGTGTGAGGCCTGGAAGAGACCTGGCAGGAGAACATGGCAGATTTGGTGGGTTAAGGTTTGGTGTGGTGGGTAACTTGTGGGTATCTTGGTATTCGGTATGGTTTCTGTGGATTTTCTGATTGGTTTCGAAGTTTTCCTAAAAAAGATCAGTAGTTTTCTTATAGATCTCCCACGACTTCTCGTGTTATCGCAGCTTTTCCCAAAAAAGAACAGTAGTTTCTATATCAGGAGAAACAGAAGATCATGATTGGCAAGTTTTCCGGGGGATAGATTGAATGTGGACAAAACAGCGACTGCATACGTGGCAGAACTCGAAGTGGCCAACATAGCACCAAGCGACTCAACACCTACTCAGAAAACTTCTTTTCTCATTGGCCTGTACTTAAGGACTCTTTTTTTTTCTCCATTTCATGTGCTGCTATGCATGATGATAGTCCTCATGGTGATGACGACGCTTGATTTTTTGGCTGAGTGACAAAGACCAAAACAAAAAACAGAATCTACTCTTTCTTTCCCTTCTTGCCCACGCGTGGAGGCAAACTCTCTGTGGTGGTGGGCTGCTATTTGCAGTCATGTATTCCCCCTTCCACAGAATGCCATCGTGGACATTATCATCTTCATCATCATTGTCGCCAATGGGCATCACTCTCTCTCTCTCTCTCTCTCTCTCTCTCTCTCTCTCTCTCTCTCTCTCTCTCTCTCTCTCTCTCTCTCTCTCTCTCTCCCCTACATAAAGTTCTCCTCTTGCTCTTTGACGAGCCCTCCCCCTCCTCTTTGCTCTTCATCTTTCTGCTGTCCTTTCCTCTCTTCCCCACCGCTGGGCTGCAGCATCGCCCCGGGGGATCCGCTTGTTATTGTTTAAATTGATTTATCCTGTTTTATGAATACGTGTGCATGTTTCCAAATCGGCATGATGGTCTTTATGTTGTGGCTTTGACAGAACAACATTTGCACGACTTAGTCCTTGACCATWCACCACCAACCCGGCGCTCACAGAAACTGCATCAGCGAATCTTGTGCACATGGGATTCCCTCAGCGTCAAGCGGAGATGTCAGCAGCCATTTGTTCTTGCCATCGAGAACTTCACCTAGGAGGTGGTTATTCCTGCCCTCGCTGCCAAAAAAATGCTGTGTCTGTGATCTACCCATGGAATGCCCTATCTGCAACTTGATGAGGGCATCTGAAAATACGTACAAAGACTCCAAACGTCTGTTGAATCCCGAATTTGTTGCTATATCCGAACATTGCCATAATGATCCATTTACACAAAATAGGCAGGTTTTGTTGATGTGGGTCTAGATACCCAAGCCACCTTCGTCTCTTGGGCATGGCAATTGCTTCTCATGCCACCTTTGACATGAACCCTTGAAGTTTGGAGGCCTTGGGTTTCCACAGGTACCGTGCAGCCACACATCTGATCTTGACGCATGCATCCTCCTCTAGGTAGTGAACTGGTACTGGGGAGAAACCGGCCGTTGACAAAACCAAGGCCCTTACAAAGAGAGAGAGCTTATGTGACCTGATCCAATCTGTCACCCAGGCATAAACTTTGCCCACCAGCAGATTGTCCTGAGTACCTGCACAATCAGACAGGGAGACTTGCACTCCTAAAAACCGATCAGAATTTCCAGTCGGGATCTGGCGCACACCCCAGTCAATACATCGCACAAAGGGGGTGGGGGTAGGAAAAAGACTGGCTTATCCCAGTTTACTGAAGCCTCTGAATGTACACATTCATTGTCTAATACTAATCTCTTTTTTTTTATTCTTCTTTGAAACAAGGCCATGGCAGGCCTACTAGGGGGGGTGATATGAGCTTCCTCCCCTAGTAAGCCCACTGCTCACCTTAGCTAATACTAATCTCAGTTCGAGTTTTGAGAGTACTCCCGAACGTGGTTTTCTGACAGCTCTCTACCCTCCGGTGTACTGGTGGTCTAGGGCCTGGGAAGATGATCAGTCGGTGGTTTATGGGCTGCGAACACGATCACTCTGTGGGTGGGACCAGGTCCCAGGGACAGGGTCCCACACCTGGGAGTTTCCAGCCGTCTATCCTTGCAAACTATTGTCCAAACTGAGTGAAAAAATCCAGGTGAGTCCTTTGGGACCCCTGCAGTCCCTGCGCAAGGATGGCACACATAAATTGTTAAAAAAAATAAACAAATCCAGGTGAATGGGACTTCACCCTGGTGTGTCTACCTCTGGGCCCAGTTTCCAAAGCTGTCTTCAGCTGCACAGTCGCTTTTTCGTGCTCCGTCTATCTGCCACAGAGTCCTTTGGATCATGCTGTGCGGTCCATTTGCTACCCATTCCCCATACAGTGCAGCTCCTCTTGCATCTTTTTGTTTGTTGTTGTTGAAAAAGGTAATCTATATTCTTCTCTCAATCTCTCTCTCTCTATATTTCTCTCGCTACTCTGTGTACATTGCGGGGGAACACCAACCAACCTGGATCTCTCCTCAGCCCACTGCAGGGGTGGTGCGAGAGCAAGGTTGTACCAGCCCCTAATCACGGTGATGTGGGGTGGGCAGGGTTGCGTATGGGGAAACCGGCAGTGCTAGTGCCACTGGTCACCCTAATCACGGTGATGTGGGGTGGGCAGTGGTTGGGTATGGGGAAACCGGCAGTGCTAGTGCCCAGCAGTATGACGGGTGGCTGCACCTCCTCCTTCCTGCCCCCAGCCCCACATTAGCTGTGTCTAATAGCCTTATGGTTGTTGCATAGCACCCAACAATATTGGCCAAGGTCCTGCCAATGCTATTTGGTAGCCTGGCGGGCCAATGGGCTATCTCCGGATGTTAGGACAAGAAGCATGCGCGCGGACGGATTGAACCCACGACCTCCTGAATGCAACTCTTGTGCGCCTACGTGAGAGCCTGGGGATTGAACCCACGACCTCCTGAATGCAACTCTTGTGCTTTACCAGCTGAGCTAGGCCAGCAGGCCTCTCTACTTGCTATTTGCTATTGCGATCTGTTCTCTATACTGCGCATCTGTACTTGCTATCGGTGCGGTGTGCTGTCCGGTTGCCCGCTTTCTAAAGCAGTTTCTGTGGCTTGTCGGTCAAAGGGCCGGATAGAACTGAAAACCGGTGACTTGTCTGTGGAGGAAGGCGGGGACAGAACTGAAAACCGCTGTCGTGTCTGTGGAGGAAAGGCGGGATAGTTCTTCGGGATTCGGCACGTCCGAATCATATAGAGAAGATTAGCATAGCCCCTGCGCAAGGATGATACGCATAGATCGAGAAGTGGTCCAAAATTTTGTTGTGCTCTGCTGAAAAGCCAGCGGTGCAAAGCTACCGTGCGTTGGGGGAAAAGAAAAAGGCGGGAGAGAACTCAAAACCGCCGTCGTGTCTGTGGAGGAAAGGCGGGATAAAAACTGAAAACCGCTGTAGGAAAGGCGGGATAAAAACTCAAAACCGCTGTCGTGTCTGTGTGGAGGAAAGGTGGGATAGAACTGAAACCCGTCTGTGAAGGAAAGGCGGGATAGAACTGAAAACCGCTGTGGCAATTGAATTGGTTGGGCTTAAAAGAATTAGCCGTTGGGGGGGGGAGGAGAAGGCGGGAAAGAAGTGAAAAAAGTGAAAAAAGTGAAAAGAAAGATGAGAGAAGAACAAGTGCTTCGCTGCCAATTCCACGAATGGTATCCAAGGTTTCGACACGTGTCCATTCGGAGCGAGATCGTTCCTCTGCCCGAAGATTTCGTTTCGTATTTGCTTCAAGATGGAGTGTTCTTGTCGCGATCGAGTGAAGCCGTGAGTATTATTAATTAGTAATTGTTAATTATTAATTATGAATGATTAATGATGAATTATTAATCCTAGTGGTCGTGAAGACTACGTACAAAGTGAATTGTGATTTTTTTTTTTTTTTAAAGTTTGGACCATTTCTCGATTTATGCGTGTCATCCTTGGGCAGGGCCATGCTGATCTTCATTGGGCGTCCCTCCACTACTGACTAAATGTGCAAAATGAGAATGATTTTTTTTTTCCCCACTACCGGTAGAACATGGAGAGATACATTACCTTCTTTTTTTTTTTCTTTTTTTTTTTTCTGGGAAGCCATATTTTTTTGTGTGTTTTGTACGAGTGGAGAGCAGTGGAGCGAGGCCCCTTCTCTGTATCGTTCCAATTTTAACGGATGTCCCGAAGGACAGTTGCTAGTAGTACAGTATTAATTGTTAATCGTAGTCGTGAGGACTAAGTACTAAGTTGATTATGAATCATTAACTTTATTTCCGGGGATAAGGAACCGGACTGTCGCCCCCCAGAATAGAAGGAGCAGATGTGTGTGTGGGCAAAAAAAAAAAGAAAGTTATTAATCTGTGCTTCGGGACATCACATCCATCAGAAATGGAACGATAGGGAGAAGCGTAATTAGCATGGAGAAGCTTAACTAGTATGGAGAAGCGTAATTAGCATGGTATTGATTAGCTTTCAAGGATGGCAAACGTAATTAATCAACGAATGAATTATTAATCCGTCTTTTTTAATAAATAATAAAATTAGTATCCTATCCGTCTCGTAGTGGCCTTTCTTTTTTTTTTTGGGGGGGGGGGGGGGGGGGAAGGAAAGGAGTGGCCTTTCTAGTCCCCGTATCCGTGCTCTATCCTCATAGCCAATGTCCTTGCCGGCGCTCTCCTGCTCCGCTTTCGATCTTGTCCTGTTCTGCTGACGTGGCGTGCCCTTGGATCGTGACTACCCTCTTCCCCGGAACACAAGGGATCCTCATCGTGACTATGCACTCAAGGGGGGAGAGAGAGAGAGAGAGAGAGAGAGAGAGAGAGACACACAGAGAGAGGCAGAGCGAGAGAGAGAGAGAGAGAGAGAGAGAGAGAGAGAGAGAGAGAGAGAGAGAGAGAGAGAGAGGGGCGGAGAGTGAGGGACAGTTGACCAGTTATTATGCGGTGAGGAGATGCCTGAGGAAGAGGAATTGGAAGCTAAGCAGCTAGGGAGAACGTGAAGACGACGAAGCTGCAGTGGACTATGTCTATGAACCTCTCGCAGGGCGTGTCATTCCTTCTGCCCGTTTCTTCTCCCTGCCCCTCCTACCCCGACTTCCTCCGCTTCCCCCCCCTTGGACCCCCTTGGACACCCTCTCCCCCCTTCCCCCT